CTGCAGCCCTAGGAACGCGGAGCTGAAGGCCACCCGCGTCCCCGTGCACCCAGCTGGAAGGGTGCAGGCTACCAGCCCAGCCATTTGGGCCAGCATGCCCTTTCCCCCAGGCACGGCGGCTCGGTCCTTTTCGGCGTGTCGGTCACCCGCGCCAGACCAAAGTTGGTGCCAAGCCCTCCCTGCCGGGCTGCGTGGCTTCGGGTGAGCGCGTCCCATGTGGGGAGGCGGCCCCCAGACCCCAAACGCGAGGGCTGGAAGCTGCGACGGGCACATCCACTCGCTGTGGCTCTGCCCCGGGGTGTAGGCAGGGCTGCAGCTAACCTGTCCAGGACAACGTCCATCCTTTCCGATGCAGGGTAGGCCGCAGACAGCGCTTTCCCAGCTCCTGTGGCCCCCAAGCACAGGTCCCGCTTGGCAGAGGGAGCAGGCTCTTGGCTGTGATACAGCATGATTTCTGTATCAAGATAACTCATTGGAAATAGTTGTCTGTACGTCAGCACTTCAGGAGAGCAGGGTCTGCGATTCGCTCTCAAAGTAGTAGTCAAGGTCAAACCCAGATGGCAGTTTTGGGGTTGGGCTGGACTGGCCAAGGAAAAAGAAAAAAAAAAACAATCAAACAACAAAAAACCCCAGCAATTTGTCTCTGCTAGGATTTCACAGCTGGGAATTTCCCCTAGAGAGGGAAATTGATGTCACAGCGCATCAGCTTTTTGTAATTACGGCATAACCTCTAGAGCGTAAACAGGGGCAGAGAGGTCTCCGAATCTGCAGAAGGTGTGTGTTGCCAATCCCACAGGCAGACAGACCCAGACACCCAAAATGAGCTTATGTTTGTTTTTCCAGTAAGAGAAATGCTATTTTGAACTCAGTGCAGGAAAAGAGATTTTTTAGACTCTTTCCACTCTAATCCATTTCCTCAGCATCTGTGCTTGGTCAGGAACTGGTCTTTCATGAAATGAAAGTATGTGATCAGTCTTTCTCAGAAAAGTGACCCCGCTGAGTATAATGGCACTATTCATGGGCAGAAGCTTCCTCCTGTCTGCAAATATCGCAGATTCTGGTCATCTGTTGCTCCCATGCCCTGCCTACACACATCAAAAAGCAGGAACTTTTGAAAGAAATAATAAATCCAAGAATACTGCAGATAAACAGGTATCTTCTTTTTTTAAAAGAGCTGCACTACGCTATGCTAATAGCATCTGCATGTACTTGCAAGCGCTACTGCATATCCGTGCGTGTTTTGACTGTTCTTGGGGTTGTTCAAGAGTATTTACACGAGTGTAACCACAACGGGTGCTTAAAGCCCTTTCTTAAAGTCACACAAATTCAAGCACCATCGGATGTTCATCCTATTAGAACAGGACAAAGGAGCGGCGAATTCACTATGGCACGTTTACTCACACAAAACTCCCTAAGGGAGACTTGGCCTTAAAACATGGCAGCATTTTTGTCGTGTAACAGAAACATGTGACGTCCAGAGCCAGAGCTGTTCTGTGGGCATTACATACAACGACAAGCTTTTATTTATGAAGGAAGCGGCGAATAAAAGTGGAAAGAGCAAAAAAAAGTCTAGGGATAAATCCTTTTTCAGAACGGGTAGGTACAGGAGGGAAATAATTGTTTCCAGATTGGAGCCAGGCAGCAGTCCACATTGTATAGTGAAGAAAGAGCAGACAGCTTTCAGCACACGTGTTTCCGATCAAGTGGAAACTGAGCATCTGAGGTTAGCCTAAATGGAAAGCACAAACTGAAACAGGTTGCTAGTCCAATCCAGGGACAAGGATGGAGGCACGGAAGGAGAGAAGTTTCTTTCATAGACAGACGGACGTCTCCAGGCACCAGCACTGCTGTAGTTGCTTCATGCTGCCGAGGAGCCCTCTCCGTGGCTTCGGCATCGTTGCATTAGGTGCTGTACCAAGAGAACAAAAAGATGGTCCCACTCCCACTCGCTTGCAGTCTCAGCGTATATTCTTCAAGTAAAAGTCCAACGTCTTAAAAGATCTTACTTCTGCTTAAGCCATGTTCTTCATTTGCATTTATACTTCCTGCTTCCAGAGAAAATCATTGCAGTGCTTGAGAATACTGAAGCAGGCTGGGTTAGGGCAAACGGTTGATCCGGCCGACTTTTGTGTGGGCAGCTTGTCCTT